ACAACAACAGGCATTCAGTCCAAAGTACCACCTCACGATTAGCATCAAAAAAAGCCGTGTTACAGAGGTAGTCAGGAAACTTTAAGAACTGTGGAAAAAAGCAGCCCAAGTTACAAACTACAGGGTACGCGTCATTTTAGTTTGTGATTTATTTTTTTGACACGGATGATCTCAAGTACAACTGTATCCAAACTGCAGGATCCAACCCATGTCCAAACACACACACATCATCAGCTAGTTGATGGGAAGGAGTCCTTTTGAAACACACTTCAGCTGCGTTTCTCACAGGTAAGACGCCTGCTCATTCCCAGTGCCCTCCGTCCCCTCCTCGCCAGGGAGCAGGTATTTCCCAAGGCAGCCACTCCTAGCGCCCGTTCGGTTTCTACCTTGATTCAAGGACATATCTTATCAGGCTGATTATTGCCTAGCTCCCTATCAACCTAGTCACAAGATACAAATGTCATGGCAGAGGTTTCCCCCAACATGTGTTACTTTACAAAGCCAGCTTCATTCAGCTTCGCAAGACCCCTCAGGAGAAGTGTACTAAGGAGAGGCAGAGGAGCCTTTTACTTTCCTAATGGCCACTGCCAGTTACCTGGAAAACACTGCCAGGTACCACCACACACTTCATACTAGGTCAGCAATGACCTTAAAGACTTGGTATTTGGTCTGTGTCTAGCTTTTGCTCTTTTAAGGCTAATTCTGCTCACACTGTCCTCTATGCAAATCAAGATACACTCTTTTTAGAGTTAACTATATGAACTCTGGACTCTTTCCGACACGCATATAAGACTTTATTCACTTACAGGTAACGAGTGCAGCCACATTAACCATCTCCTTGTCTTTTACAGAGCGCACTATTTATGCAAGAAGCTTTTTCTAAATCCACGCACTTTAACCAGTGAAAATAGGACTGTGAAAACAGCTAACCGTGGGGTGTCTATGGCCTACACCGAGCTCTGTGATGCACTGACCAGCCCTCCCACCACGACGAAACAGAGCGACACAAGTTATGTCCAGCTTCATCCACCTGCAGCAGGCATCAGAAGAGCACAGAAGAAACGTGCCACCGTCAGGAATTTCAGACTGACGTACTGCCTTTCCGTAAAGGGCAAGACTAACCCTGCTCTGCCGAGGAGAAAGCTCCTGGTCGTGCCGAGCGGTGACCTCCAAAGGACACGCTGCTCTCCTCGCCGGCTCTTGGCTCCCGCTCCTCAGCACATCGACTGCTGCAACCGCGCCGAGGGATGCTGTGCCAAGCGCAGACCGACACCGGGCACTGCCTTCGAGGGAAGAGCAAAAAGGAGGATCGGAGCCTGCCCAAGGCTCCCGGGCAGGCTGCACCCCAAAGACACACGTGCAGTTTGCATATCACAGCCGGGTGCTGCGCGCCACAGCCGTGATCGCTATAGAGCTCAGCAGCAGCTAAACGTCATGCCTGCCATGGGAGCTAACTGTACCATCAGCTACTGCTGGCCTCTGGCCCGCGCAGGGCAGTAAGGATACGCCCCGGTAAGGCCGGTTCCCTTCACGGGTGATGTGCGAGATGCACAGCTAACATACGGTCCCTGCAGGGCCTGCAGCCTGCTCCAGGGCCACGCCAGCAGGAGAGAGGCTCTGCATATCCACCGTGCACACTCCAGCGCTTGGCCGGGGCTACATCTACGGTGGTCCCCGATCTGAGCATCCCCCCCACGAAGTACATCACTTAAAGCCACCTAAAAGGCCAAACGCTGCTACAGACTCTTATATCTATCAGACACCAGCAAGTATTTGGTTGGCAGGTGAAATAAAGCTTCCAACTTAACATCTTCCAAAATAAATCTAGTTTACCTGCATCAAAAATACTCTACAAAGGGAAGCCGCATGCAGTAAGTGAAGTGGGGATGACTAAGGGATTTACAAAACCCTTCCACTGCCCTGACCCAAAATGTTAACGTAGATGGGACAGAGCAAAGCAAGAGTCAGGTTTGCTTCCCTTTACACGTGCGCTGTTACATGACATGGATATTCAGCACCTCCTGCTATGTGTTACCTTTAAAGCTGTGGCTTTCTAACTTTTCTTTAAAGACAGTTTAAGGAAAACACAGGTGCAGACATCAAGCAACCCCAAAACAGAGCTACCATATTCCCTAGAATTAAGTAACAGCCATCCCGTAACAGTTTAAAAGGTCTTGTCTCCTCTTTGATTAATTATTGTTTCCTGCTAATAAGAAACATCTTAAAAAGGCAAGGCAGAGAGCAAGAGCTTTTCAGTTATGTGTAGGAATTCTGATTTGGTTAAACTACTTTTTTCCCCTTTTCACCCCCTTCCCCCCAAAAAATAACAAACTCTCTCTGCTGACGAGGCAGCAGTGTCACTGCTGAGGCACCTGGGTACTTTATGTTGAGCAAATATTTTCGATTTGAAAAAAACAACAAATTTTTTCCCTAATATTTCTCTACCAGAAAAATTGGACCAGGCTACTTATAAGCAGTTTTAGAGAATGTAAAGAGACCTGAACAGCTTGTAACAGTAGCTTAAATTTGCCTGCTAAAGCCGTTATCTCCAGCCACATGCCCCTCGTTTGGGATGATCATCTCTGGGCAGGAACAACGCTTTCATTGACGGGATGGCTCCTGAAACATCCCTGTTTCCAGCCCAGCACAGAAACACGAACCAGCTCTGCTTCTGGCTTACCTTAATGCACCAGGCTAAAAGTTGCAGAAAATAATCAAAGGCTCATGCCTTAGAGATGCAGCAATAACTGAAAACAGTCACAGCACTAGCTATCCAATTTTAATCTGCCTGAATAAAGCAACAGTTATAAATTTTATCTAACTGTTCAGTAAAAACAAACTGATTGCTCAATAATTTACCTACCACACATACCACAGTGGATTACGCGTAACAGTTTAGGCATGGACAAATTACGTGATGAAAGATGAACACACTCACTTTGTCTCTCTCGCATTCCATCAAATCCCACGCTTAGAACATTGTAAGAATTAATAGCTCGATAAAACTGAAGAGAAGGTAAATAATGTCTCCGTTCACAAATAATCACTGGTTTGGTGTGTCCCCTCACACTGTAGTAAGTATTTGCCAGCACATACTCTACCTACAGGTCTATTTCAAGGTCACTATCAGTCTGGTCATATTAGAAATTTTATCTACTGTTCCACCTTCTTGCATCTTAAGATATCGTAACAAGTTAACATCTGTGGTTCCAGAGTAAATTTAGAAAGTACATAGAAATATACTCTCAAAAGGCTCTGAATACATATTTATAGATGTGCATACAAATATATATCTTTGCATCTATACACACACACATCCCGACAGCAAAACACACTGAAAGAAAACTGCTCCTTTAATTTTCTTCCACTCCTTTTTATAGCCCAGAAAGTATCTGCCTTTGAGGACAGTTCGTTTTTTTACCCTAAAGACCAATCTACAGAGACAAAAAATAGACAATGTTAACATAGTGTCCAAATTTATCATGCAACAAAGACATTTTTCTTCTTACAGAAGAAAATACTGGTTTGGAAAACGAAGAGCTGAAACTCAATCCAGCCAGCAAGGGTTTTCTGGAGAGAACGGGGCTGAACTTTTAGACAGCACAGGGCTACCTTCAGTCTGCTTTCTCAGGGCATCTGCGCAGCCTGACATCTTCTTAACACAAGCACCTTAAAGTACCTGCAGGAAGAACCAGTTAGAAGCAGCACCGTTATGGTCATCTCTGATGACCCCCTGAAGAAGAGACAGTAGCATACGGTGGGATATAACCACCAGCATGTTCAGTGCGATGCAAGTGCCTGCTCACATTCAGCTCAGACACACTTGAAGTTGAACAGGGGAGAAAAAAAAAAGAGACAAGAGAATTGGCTCAGTGCTCCACGTCCTGCAGCTCAAATCAGGAAATTGCCTGAAGTTTTCCCAGTTGGTGAAAAAAGGTACTGCTAAGTCATGACACTACCAACAATGCAAAGAATAAAAAAAAAATAGATAAAAAAACAACAACAAAAACACCCCAGCCTTCCGTGACCGATTTTCAGGCTAAAATAGAGGAAAAGTGGGCCTGGCAATTTTCATGCCAAAGCAAAGGCTGAATGAGGCATTTTTAGAAGCAAATTGTTGAGCATTGCAGGTCTACCTACCCATTTATCACCCAGCCAGAAGCATCCATTAATAAACATCTCCAAGATCTATTTGTTTCTGTATACACAGAAATGCAAATGGCACGGTTTTCTGTGAAATTGTTCTGCCTGTCACTCACCATTGTGTTGCTGAACAGAGGCATTCTTAGATATCAGGTATCAAAGATCACATGGTACACTGAAGCAATCAAACTTTAATAATTAATCTGTGCAGCCAGGATTTCTGGCATCAGTCCAATCACTATCACTATTTCTATCTGAAGCTCAGGACATGATGGCCAGTCAGGGTACAGTAAAAATTCATACCTGAGTACAGGAGTGGTGCTGTTTATGCCAGTTCACATCACCTCCATCTCTTGGCCTACACATAGTTTCTTCATGCTTATATACACTTGGTGTTAAAGACATTTTTACCTATCAAACCGAGGGAAGCAAACTCTCCATACAAACACTAATACCATGAAATTAGATAGTATAAGCTATCAGCAGGCTTCTTTAAGCCTAAGCAGCATTCATCCATTCTCCCTTCTTCCCATTGTAACCCACACTTGGTTAGAAGCTACAGATGTAATTTCCAAGATAGTGTGCACTCTTTTTTCCCCCTACTGTACCATCAAACACCTTACTCAAAACCAAAATTACTTCCTGCACTCACAAAGGACTCATCTTGACAAGTTTGTGTCTGATAGTTCCCCTCACCACCACCCCAACCTACCTCCAGTGAGTCCAAAGGTGTATTTCACCAAGCAAAAACAACAGACACTAGATCCTATTTGAAATTCACCACTTCAAAACTGCCACTCATCATATGAGGTCAACCAGATACCACAGAAATTACTGTAAAGCTCAGCAAACCTTACTTCTGGCAGAGGGCTGGCCGGTTTGGTCAGGATTCCTCCCACATAAACAACATTGGGTAGCGTAGGTCTTGGAAACTCCAGTGCTACATCAGTACAAAGCATCCACAGGCTGGATCCATGAACCAAGTCATACATGGACCGTTCTGGCAGAACCTTGTATTTCTGCATTATCCTTTCATATTTTGGCAGAACCAAAAAACTGACTCCAAATCTTGAAATAAGATAAACAACAGTATTTTTAATCCTCTCAAATAGGTTCATGTGATCTGTGAGCAACGAGTTAAATTCTGGAACATAAGACAGGGGAGCTGGAGCACCCACTTCTGCTGGATACCAGAGGCCAGTGGAAAAGACAGCGTATTTAACCCCTAGGAGATGAGCTATAACAAATCCACACATCTCATTGGGATCTACCAGGAGCAGGTCAAATTTTTCCTGTTTCAGGGCACGCATGAGGTTTTGGTTGCCAACGATCATGTCGCAGTTCTTGGAATAGTGGTCCAGGATATCAAACAGTTCAAGGGCTGTCAGTCTCCCCGAGAAGATACTCCTCATCTTGGACTGGAGAAAATCATCCGAGGTGCTGCTGTTAAAGATCCCTGGGTAGCGCTGAAGTCTATAGTGATTAGACGGAGGAATCTCTCTGCCCTCAGAGAGGAGAAACACTGTCTGGTGACCTTGGTCATGCAAGGCTGAGGCCAGAGTCTTGAAAATATAAAGATGGCTTTCAAACATAATTGGCGGCACGACAACAATTTTGGCAGCCCTCGCTATCCCGACAGCACTCCACAGGAGTATGAAAGCTGGAGCGTACGGCTTCATAGCTGAAATGAGAAATAAAAGCATTACATCAACAGAAAACAGGCTTGTATGCTACCTGGGAATTTAAAAAAAATAAGTTATTATGTGGCTGTCCCATGAAAGCTAATCACATCTTCTTATTTCAAAGATGCCTTTGCAGCAGTCACAGGGAACAAGAGAGCCACTCAGCTTCAGAGCACATTTGGTAGTGCTCGGATTCCAGCAAGATCTGCCTTTTCCCTTCCCCTCCCTTTCCATCTGGCATTAAGGGTAGACAAGAGGCTTCTTCCAACACAGATACCGATATGGCACCTGCATTAAATGGCAGGAAAACCAACTGAGACAGTGAGGTTCGTACCCTCCACAGAGATACCGCGTGCACCGCTTCTGAATTATATATGCCATCCAACAACAGTAAGATCTTGAAGTCAGCTCTGAAAGCCAGAGCCTGCTACGTTTGGGATTATATTTAAAAGCACAACTGCATTACTGTCATTGTAATATATTAAGTGAATAAGAAAGATGCTAAGTTCAAAGACCCAAAGGCTAAAATCCTATATTTATTCACACGAGACCCAAAGGATGCACTGGTGATTTTCAGTGCACAGCATATAAGATGCCACTTTCATAAACACAATTCAGTCTTGCCTCCTCAACTGGAACTTCTAACATGTCCACTTTAATTTTGTAGTTTGAGAGCCCCACACTTCACATTACCGTTAACATGGTTATGAGCATTTCTACCCCAAGGTCTTGTCTGATAGTTGCCCGCAGCCTTCAAGCTGTCTTCCTTCAAGTTGCAATTCTATCCTGATTTAAGGGTAACATTTTTGTTTCCGTATAAGTCAATGGGAATACAGAAGATATTTTTTTTTTCTCTCCTAAAAGGACATGAAAATTCTTGCAAAGTTTCTGTTTAGTACCAATGCTGATGAGACACACGGGGGTGGAAAGTCAAGATCCAGCAGGAAGATGCTACCATTGAATAATAACCAACTTAACTACTCTAAGCTTTTAAAAATCACACTTTGTGTATAAGAACAAGTGAAATAACAGGAGTCAGTACTACATATGTGAACATCACAACTTCCACAGAAGGACTTTTAGCAGTGCTTGATTCTGAACCTACTTAAATCAGCACTTGGGCACACACTTGAGCACAAGCTCTAACCTATGCTGAAAACCCCACTGCCATCTTCAACATGCAGAGCTCCTGACAGTAGCAGGCTGCTGGGGAAAGGGAAAATACTTTTCACCCCTCTGTGTTTTGGCGAGCAAAGCCTATAAAATGCTGTATGCATCAGATGAAAGCGAAGTGCACGAGAAGCTTGGAGAGGGCATGTCAGAAAGCTCCCCAGTCACTCCAACCCTCCCAGGACAGAGAAACAAGTGCAAGCCAAACCAAACAATCTGCTCTTTTCTTGTGCCAAACCAATCCACATGGAAACCCAAGCCTGTTGCAGTGTCCTTTATAAATAAGCACAACAGATAATGCTGCTACTCAGTCCTTGTTATCTCCTTACAGCGTAGATGTATAACCCTCCTACAACAGATTGCTCAGGGCTTCTAGATTTTGTTTTTTTAAAATGTTATGTGGGTTCCCCAGCTCACCAACAGTGCATCTCATATTTGTATTGCTACTATATGATACTGAGCCTTCCGAAGGATGCCCCAACTTTCTCCTACTCCAGCTTCTGCAAGTGTCGTGGCTTTGAAACATTTCTAAGTGTGCACCAAGCCCAAGTTAAGCTGGAAAATCACCATAAGGTACATTGACTATTTAAATTAAGTTTCTCATATGAAAGGTTTTCTTACTGGATTTGAAGCCTCCCCCATATTTGTCTTCAGAAAGCATTAGCCACTGCCTAGGAGATTACCAACCACCACTTGGAGAACTCTACCAATTTTAAATTAGATTTTATCAGCAGTAGTGTGTGCACAGACACTATGTACGCACAGAAGAGTTCATCTGGGCAGACACCTTTTTTTGCTGGTTTTGGTTTTTTCTTTCCTGAGACAAAGCCCACACCACAAATATGCACAGCAAAACCTCACGGCACCCATGGGCCAGCAGTGAGGAACTGAAACACGGAGAATTGATTGAGATCTCCACACCACCACCACATTCAGAGGCTGACAGAGCGTTCTGGGAAGTACTCGGAAGCTTCGCTGTTTCCAGGCACAAAGCTCAATTTGACAGAGATAAACACTCCAGGGGAAGAGGGAGGAAAGACTTCCTGCAAGCATCACCAGTAGCGCACGAGATCTTCGCTACACCGCATCACTGCCACTGACATCAGGAAAGGTCAGTTTGGTTTTTAAACTGCTTCAATTAGGGTGTTAAGAGATGACCCTAAAACATCTCCTCCTCGGCAAACAGTAGTAGTTAAACTAAACAGCAGTCCTATTCACTCTCCAATAAAGCTGGAAAAACCATTCTTGCTACACAAGAAACAGCTCACTTCCCAGCACGAAGGCCTGACCTGCTGGTGAGTTTAAGGTATTAAGTCGCCTTTTTAGTTTAGGCCTTTGCTTTCACTGGCAGCTTTCTAGAAAACCGCAGCACCCCCAGGAGCTCCCATCCGAAGGGTGTGCCAGCACCGAGCCCGGCTCGCCATCCCACTTTGCCCCTGGCCGTAAAACCGGCAGGTTCCAAGCCGCAACAGAGGGTTGTGCAAGTACACAGGCTTGGTGTGGTGATCAATAGTGGTACCAACAAGCCACACTCATATTTTCAACAGGGCCCCACAGGAGGGGAACACTCATTAGTTAAGTGTGGTTTTAAAAAATAACTAATGGTTCCTCAATGAAATATCCAAGAAAAATGATTAATCAGACTTGGAAAAAACCCTTATTGATTGCATCTCTCCATGCTGTAAGCATTCCCGCAGTGTTAAGTTACTGTTCCTGCCAACGATAGCGCTATTACAAAACCATGAACGGAGGTGTGGGATTGGGAAACTCCAACAGTTAACATTTCCATCAGCGGCATAAATCAGAGGTACCAGGAGCCTAAGGGCTAGTCACGGTCCAACAGGTTGCCAGATGGAGGCACGCTGGCTGTACTTTGATCTCCCGACCCAATACAGGCCTGGAGCACAGCGCAGAAGATACACTCCTTAGCCCGAAGGCGTATTTTCCACCGCCAGGGTTATGCACATGCTTCCAGAAGCCATGGGAAGTACAGCTGTACACCCCTGGGATGACGAGAGTACTGCCCCACCGCTTCCCACCCCCACCGAGCAGCAATGTTTTATATGGGAATCGCATTGGATATTTTACTCTTTATGAAGGTACTATAAAGCATGATCCATCTAACATGAAAATCTGTCAATATAACTACAAGCAAATTACCAAACATTAGTTTTTCCTCCTCGTGAGGTCTATCAGCATCAAGAGATGATACAACATGCTTCCCCAGGAGTCTGTAGCTTGCAGTATCTTCAGAACGGCTAACAAAAATAACCCCTTCTCAAAAATGTATTATGCAACTCCTCTTTTCAACGCAAGCATCTTCCACAGGGACAGGAAAATATATGCACAGGACCTGCCAAGCCATAGAGATATTAACCACATGCTGCTATTAGAGAAATGCCAATTAAGTGACATTTTTACTGGGAAAAACGGCTTTGACCTTACATTCACTTCTTGCAGGAACCTGCAGGATGAAGCCTCATCATTTCATCCCCTGTCCAGTCAGCAGCAGGGAGCCTGGAAGGTTTGTAGTTAAGAGGGAACAAGGGCAATACATAACAGCCCTTTGTAAGGCAATTAATCACGAGCAGAATTCCCATTTGGCAGACTGGGAGGGATGGAAAAGGTAGGTGCTGGGTGCCAACAGCAGGACAACACCCCACGACTACACAAGCTCAGGTCCAGGAGCAGTCCCAGATGCCCCTTCACTCCGACCGTCCTCAGCAATGAGCTCCTCCAGCACATCAGCTATTCCCAACAAGCCAGGGAACGTTGCGGAGGGTCACTCCTTTCAACAGGAATTTCTGATTCAGTTCAGCTCCGAAAGCAGCAAGCAACACCTAGGCAGAGGGGGCTTTACAGGGGTCAGGAAAATTAGGAGGTGGTGCTCAGCTGGAAGCCAGCTAATCAAAAACCAGAGCACAGGGACTTTTCCCACTAACTTCCAGTCACACTCCAGTGGTGAACTCCCAGAATAAATCGCTTGCCAAAATAAAAAGGATCAACATCCGACACAACTGCTTTCTGTTTCTGAATAGCAGGAGCATGAAAAAGAATTGCCAAGTGTCCAGACAGAGAAGAGGAAAGAAAACCCAAAGCCAGAGGACAATGCATTTCTCCGAGATAGTTATCAATACAAAACCATTTTCTACCTGTGTCTTAAGTTCTTCTGCTTAGGATTCACCTCCATTAAATAAGATAGTTTTGGTGTCTGAGCTGGTATATAACATCCTTTTATAACAGAACATGAAAAGAAAAATCCAGTTTCTCTAAAGTAAAAGAAAAAAACCAAACCACCCCACCCCACAAAATTATCCCTGAAATGAAGCCATTACTACTTTCAGCCAAAAAGCCCTAAACGCAATGGTATGGAGGAAAACCAGAGATGCAGGGTGGCTTTATGAGTGAAATCAACTGCCAACTGTAAAGAGTTCACCTACTGGAGTGCAGCAAGACAAAGTTAAAGAAATACCAAAAAGTTAAACATTAAACCTATTCCAACAGCTCCTTGTAAAGTTAATGACCTACATGTGTATTTTTTCAAATGAAAGAGAAAGCACGAGTTTTAAAGTGTTACTGAAAACCAAGCACATCCACAGAAGACTGCTGGAAGGATATTTTAAGCTGACCAAAACAGTTCTAAACCCAGATTATTATTTTTAAAGTATTTTTCCATTCACCCAGAAAGACCAAGCAGGATCTAGAACAAGAAGTGTGACTATATAGAAATTGGTGACTTTCAGAGGAAAAAAATAAGGGGGAGGATCCTTGCCCCACATTGTTCACAAAGGCCTGATACTTGAATATTGGGCAACGTAGAAAAACTGAAT